AATTTTTAGTGCCTTTAAATTAAAAAGGTAGGTTTATTGATTTTAAGTAACTTAGGGCCGGTTTTTATTATCTATGTTTTTCAATTAGGGTTTAAGCCTTGGTTCAGGGGAACTTAGATCAGTTAATGAACTCAGTTCACAGTCAAATGAGTTTTTCAATGTCGACTCAACAGCAGTTCTGTTGAACTTAGATCAGCGGTCCAGAGACTAGTACTCTATGCAGCGATCTCAACGTTAAGTTGGTACAACCGAATTTAGTATACTCCAGTGTTGCCAACCGTAGCGGAATTCCGCTACGCATAGCGGGATTTACCCCCAAAAGCGGCGTAGCGGCGGTGGAACAAAATGATGGCAAAACGTAGCGGAATTTAGTTTTTCTTTAATACGTTTTAGTAAAACATTTAAAACACAAATTTTTTTTCTTATATTGATAGTTTGTTCTGTTTGTTTATTAAAAACATTACATTTAAAAATATTAAAATAGTGTTTTTCTTAAAAATTACACACAATACACACACAAGATATTTAATGAACGTAATTTTTAACTTTCGGTCTCATACACCGAATCGACTAATGGCGTTTCAGAAAACAGTGAGACTAATGAAGGGTTAAAATCTTTTGTGCTTAGCTTTATTTATAGATTTCCTTTCGTCCTTTCTCCCGCCCTCCCGTAAAATGCTATATATAGCCGCCGTAGGATTTATAAATGCTACCGCGGCTTGCGTATTGTTTATCTTTTACGGGCGGGCGGAACTTCCAGCGTTAGAATATTTTTGTTTTGGTTTTATATAGGGATTTTTTGTTACCTGTTTTTTATATTTATTAGGTATTTGAAGAAAGTATTTTGCTTAACATTTCTTGTCTTTATTTGCATTAAAAAAAATTGTATCCAAAGTTTGGATTCCAAACTTTAAGCCAAAATAGAGCGGGTGTAGCGGAATTAGGATAGATTCGGCTGTAGCGGAGCGTAGCGGAATTTTGATATTGTTGTAGCGTTATTTGTTATTTTCGAGTTGGCAACACTGGTATACTCCTACATTAATAGTAGTTAAAACCAGAGACAAGGGTTAAAACTGTCATTTTGACAAAAGGATTTTGTGTTTACTTTTCGAGTTTTGTTTATCTGTGCTGTTTTAAAAAGTTATAATCTGTGTGAAAGGGTGCTTTAAAACAATTTACTATTGTTAAAGAACAATAATTATTATTTATTATAGGTAGATAAAAATCGTGCTGCCAACTTTACCTCTTTTAAGGAGGAATTATTTGTATATATGTATTTCGTTTTATATTATAAAATGAATTTGTCGTTTTTTGTTAAATCATTAACTTAAATGTGATGAATTTTACTAAAATCTATTACCTATTCAGTAATTATTTTTATAACTAACCTATTGGTCGGATTTGCAATAACTGGTCTAATTAAATCCACTATCCTACGTACAAAAGGTTTGGAAAACCGAAATCTGGCAAAAAAATCATCATTAATCCACCTTTCAAAATGATTCGGTCTTACCCGTGGCCTGTGCACACGAAGTTAAATATTATTTAGGAATTTGCCAATTACCTCATCATCCTCACTAACTACCTCAAACATATCCATTGGTTTATTGTAACAGCAGAAAACAAGAAATAAACAACGTAATACACAATAAAGCAATTACCTCATCATCCTCACTAACTACCTCAAACATATCCATTGGTTTATTGTAGGTAACAGCAGAAAACAAGAAATAAACAACGTAATACACAATAAAGCAGAGAAAAATTAAGTTATGTCAACTTGAACTTCGTTTAAACGGCCAACAGTGACAGTTCATCTTTTGATTTAGTTTAAACCACAGACCTAGGTCTGTGGTTTAAACCAAATTTAAGCTTGAACTTTGATTGAAATACGGCATATTTTGTTTGAACCAAGTTCAAATGCTGAACCAAGTTTAAACTATGATTGAAAAACCGGCCCTTAAAATTACTTTCATCTTATTCTTTTAATTTTTAAGTTAAAAATTAAAAGTAATTTTAACAGCTGTCAAATACGTTTTAAGGATATTTTGTTTTGTATTTGAATATAATAAAAAATAAAAGGGTAATAGAAAAACATTGTGTTTCACCTGTGAGAAAGGCTTTTTCAAGCTTGTGTTAATGCAATGCAACTTAAACACTCGCTTTTCAACACTTGTAAAACAAATAACTATTTTCCAATAAAAGTAACAATTAATTTAATACTTTATTCTTTTAAATAAAAATCCATTGGTTAAAATTGCTTTTTTTCTGACAATCATTTTTTATTGTTTTTAGACCATTCCAGGGTGGACCATTCCATGTTTAAGTTTTAAATGTCTTTTAAAACTATTTGCGAATGTCGTTTTAAAATTACAATGGTAGCAACAGTGTGTTTTGGAAGTGATTAAATTTGTATTGTTTTCATTCAACAAATCTAAGTGGTTGGTTAAAATATGATTGTCTAGACTTATTTTTAAACTATTTTGATATTCACAAAATAAACATTTCAATTGTTTTTTATTATGATGGTTTTTTATATGTGCTGTTAATTGACTTTTTTGAAGAGTTTGATAGTGGCAAATGGGACATTGGTGCCATTTAACGTTTTTTAATTTCAAACAAACTTTAATATGGTTGTCATAATTTGTTTTCTGAACAGTTGAGTACGAACATTTTGTGCATGTATGTATTTTACTTGTTATTTTTATTTTATTATCGCCTTTATTTTCCAGTTTATGTTTACTTACAATATGTGCATTTAATTGAACTAATTGAGCAGCTGAATAATGACAAAAAGTGCATTTTAAATAGGTTTTTTTGTTGTGAATTTTGAAGTGGGTATTAAAAGTATTCTTGTTTACAGTTTTAAATTCACATTTACTGCATTTAAATTGATCCAGCTCATGCTTTTTATGAACATACATGTGATGTCTTATTAAATTTTGTTTTGCTTTAAATTCCTTTCTACAAATCTCACATTTAAATAACTTTTTGTTGCTACTTATTTTATCATATTGAACCCCATGACATTCCACCTCGATTTTCGTCTCAAACATGGCTTCATCCTCATCGTTTTCTTCATTGTATGAGGAATTTTTATCATCTTCATCCCTTTCTTCTTCCTCGATATTGCAAGAGTCATCTTCATCACTATCGTCAATTTTAGATGTATTAATAATATTTTTTTGTTTAACAGAACTTTGTTCTTTTTCAAAGGTAATTAAAGTGTCTAATAGTGATTGGTTTTCGTTTTCTACATCCTTAGGTTCTATGAGATAAAGACTATCTTTGGTGACAAAGTCCTCAATAAAAATTAACTTTTCCTCTTCCATGAGATTATTTACGGTAAAATTATTTACTGTAAAAAAATTTCAATAAATTAATGTAAAAAAATAACAAACAAATTATTAACTTAAAAATGTACCTGTGAACGGTTATTCCAGGCTCTTTATTCTCGTCATTATAACATATATACTTCTACAATCCAACTGTTGTATCAACGACCCAATGCAGAACAAACCAAAACACAAAAAACAAAAACAAACAAAACTAAATTATCGCTTTAAGGTTATGTTTAGTTCAGTTTTTTAACACAGCTGTGCCTCTCTGATACAGTGTTGCCAACTTAGTAGGATTCCTTCCTACTCATATGATAGGTTTGTTCCTACCGAACAATTGGACGTATTTCCAAAATTGCATGCGCAGTACTAAAGCCTGATTTATAGATGGCCTTCCTCCCTTCCTCCCGTAGAAGATAAACAATAGTGCTATTAAATTTTATAAATTCCCGTACGTTAATCTATAAACAGCAATACGGTTTTCGTATTTTTCATTTTTTAAGTGAGGAAGAAAGGAAAGACGCATGTCCCTGACAGTCAAAATGCTCGGTAGGATCAAAATGCTCTGTAGGAACAAGTCTGATATGTGGAGTTGAAGCTCCTGAATCTTCTTAGTCATACCCACAGAGGTCTCTGTGGTCAAACCAGTGGCGGCCCGTTAGGGGAGGCAGGTGAGGCAGTGCCCCATTATAGAGAATTAAAAAATTAAGTTTAATTTAAATATTTTACTTTCTATAATATGTATATATATATATATATATATATATATGGTATACTTTTGCCAATTTAATTCTATGACGTCCTATGGACGTCCAAGGTACGTCAGAAATGGGATACCCAATATACTATACCCAATTTAATTTCAGGACGTCCCATGGACGTCCAAGTTACGTCAGAAATTGGATATCCTAAACTGGCCCGGACAGACCCAATCAGGATGTCCTTGGGAGGTCGTGTGCTATTTGGGCTAGGCATGCGCTTTTAAAAATTTGGCGTTCAAATTGTAAAGTGCGCATGACAAATATTAAAATGCGCATGCCTAGGATGTCCGAACTACTTCGGGATTAGATTAGCACCGCGAAAACACCTAATAGTATATTATTATACGATCGTATAATAATGCTCTCGAGATATAATGCAGGTTATTATTAACAAGGATGAGGTTTGTGACTCGAGCCGTCAGGCGAGAGACGTAAATCATATGATTGAATAATGCGCATTATTTCGAGTGTAATACTATACTTTTTCTACTCCAATTAAGTTATTTTCATTAATAACAAAATGTATTATAACCTCACTTTCTCCCGATTTTTAAGATCATTATAGTCGCCCCTCGTATATATAAAAATCTGATATCTGTTAACCTTACTTAAAGTTACTTTTTTCCAATTTAAAACCCGATTGGTTTAAATATTATTTCACTTTAATATTCACAATATTTCTATGATTGAAATCAGCCAATCACTGATGCCTAACAACGTTCATTATTCACGTTGTTAGGCAGGGTTTTTGGTTACCATTATTTACAAAAAAAACTTAAATAAAGTCAATAATATGCAATAGGAGTGGAAAAACAAATTTACTGCAACAGTTATAAAACACCCGATTCTGACAGTTTTTAAACTTCCCGCCAGTTAAGCTTATGTTCTGTGATGCAACATAACCTAACTCGACGATGTCAAGTTGACGATCAAAATAAAATGATTATACCTACATTGAGCACATAATCTCCAAAATAATGAATAAAAATAGCTGTGTAGGTAAAAAATAAACTTCATTAACAAGTGCATGAACCACCGTTTACAAGAATGTAGATAACCAACAATAAAACCAAGTAATGTGCATATGTAATAAACTAAAATAAAAATAGATTGACTGTATGTGATAAATAGTGAAGAATTTGCATCGTAACATAATTAAATATGGTGACAGTTCATCGTTTAAGTGATGACCCAACAGCAGCATGGAAGGAAATCCAAAAAACGCAGAAAGTATTTAAATTGAACGTTAAAATTCCCACAAAACCTGTGGAACCGAACAAAGTTCGATTTGTGTGCATGAGCGACACGCATTCTCTCATTAGAAATATCATGTTCGATATACCGGACGGCGATGTTTTCATACATGCTGGAGATTTTACCAAGTGTGGCCAGAGGGACGAGGTTGCGCAGTTTAACAAGTGGTTAGAAACACTGCCTCACAAACACAAAATAGTGATATCAGGCAACCACGAACTAAGTTTCGACCAAAAATTCTCAAACATATTCAAGAAAAAAATGGCTTCCAGACAACAAACAATCGAAGAACAGGTACCCAGCACCTATGGGAATCCCAAGGATGATATTTGCGATGCTGTCAACACAGACAATATTCGACAGTATCTGACCAATTGTATCTATCTGGAAGATTCTGGGATTGACTTGTATGGCATCAAAATATATGGAACACCCTGGTAAATATTAAAATCATATTAATTGTATAATACATGCACATTATGATTTAGTTTTTATGTTTTATATTTACAAAAACAGCTTTAGTTCAGATAGAATCACTGTGTTTCCAAAACAGTAGAATGTTGAAATTTCGCGTAAATAATAATATAAAATCATAGTGTAAAATTACCATAATTATATGCTTGACATATTGTCACTGTCAGTGTTTTAGTTTTTAAGTTAGTTTTAACTTGAGACATTCTTTTTTTAGGGAAAATTGGTGGCCCTAATCATAGATAAGGGATAAGTTGGGTGGCCCTATTACAGATTAATAATCGTTTTAAACGTGTTTCTTACAGAAGCGCTTGTAAGCTTAAAAGTGCTAAGAACACCCATTTTACCTCTCTTTTGGGAAAAATATACCTTAAGGTTAATAATTATTCTATCAGGGCTGTCATTAAACTGCTAAATTTCAATTTTAAGGTTAATTTACCACACAAATTTAAATTTGATAGTTTGATGACAGCGGCTGATAGAATAAGGTTTAAAATGGTTGTTCTTAGCACTTAAAGGTCTTATTTGAGGCCTCTGTAGGAAACACAACGTTTAAAACGATTTTTAATCTGTATAAACATAAAAATGGCCGCCGTTAGATTCTTTGCAGTGTTGCAGTGATTTTTAGTATGCGCGAAACAAGATAAAACGGTTTGTTGTGTGGATTGTGATTATTACATATTCATTCAAATATATCTAATTAAATAATAATGTTAAAATTAATTGGTATTAATATTATTAAAATAATACTTATTATTTATTTAAAAAAAGTAAAGTAAAGTATATCACAATCAACCTTGTATTAATTTATTTATTAAGTCGCAAGTTAAAAAAAAATAACAAAAAGATAAGGTGGGTCTATTTGTCCCACACAAAAAAATTAACATTTCTCCTGAACCTAAAAAACCAAAACACTGACAGTGAAAGTGAAAAAATAAAATTAAGGTAATTTCACAATATAATACACCCTGTATACATAATTGTGTTGACATTGACATTTGAATAAGGAATGCAGTCAAATACTTGAGGTTATTTATCTGTCAGTTAAACGCTAATGTATTTTTTGTCTTATAAATTAAGACATTCAATAAAGGTCCCATTTTCAAATTTGACATTAACTACTTGGTCATTAAATAAAATCAAATTTTTATTTATATTTATATTATTTAACATTTAAAATAGAGTATATTTAATACTGTACCAATATCTATACCATAGGGAATTATAATAGGCTGGTTAAAAATTAATTTTTTAATAGTAAACTAAAGTCTAAAACTAAATTTGATTATCTCCGAATATGGCGGCAACAAACAGTACAAGATTGTATTCTGGGTTGCCGATATAAAGAATGTTCGACTTTTATTAGGTTCTGTTTGAAAGTAAATCAAAATTTTGCTTCACACAATCAATATCAATCAAAATCATTAAGTGAATTCCCTATTATCAAAACCCCTAAAATCCGTTTTGATAAAAAATGAGAACCATGCATTAAAAAAATACTACCTATCAATTTGTGCATTCAAATGGTTGAGAAAGCCACAAAATGTATATATATATATATATATATTTTAATATTTGATGGCTTTTGCAACCATTTCTATGCACACATTGATAGGTAGGAATATTTTAATGCATGTATCTCATTTTTATCAAAACGGATTTAAGGGGTTTTGATACTAGAGCATATTCCATGGCATGTTAAGTTAATATTTAGCACGCAAGCATTAGACATCTTTTAGGATGGAAACGATATATCGATATATTTAAGAATATATCGGTATTAAAATACCGATATATCGAAAAAGATATCGATATATTTATGTTATGTTATGTAATTAATGTAATATATTAAAATACTGAATACCTTTTAATATAAGGTGTAACGGAAAAATATTTAAAAAAATATGCATTAAGAATTTTTTATATTTTTGTTCCACCAGATACACACTTGTGTTCTGTGATACCAACCAACAAAGTAGCTGCGCGTTACTAATAATTTTTCTTGCAAAAATAAAAAAACTTAATAAATAAAAAGTTTTATGCCCTTAAAGCTCTTATACCCTTCTGTATTTATTTACTCATCCAGCTATTAGCTTAGCAATGATTAGAATATTTAGTACCTATTTTAAAAACTCCATAACCACAAAATTCATTCATCGGTTTTTTTTCTTTCTGTTTACTCAGATGAAATTAGGACAAGTTCACAGGTTAAACTTTAAACATTCAATTTGTGTAAATAAATACAAAATCACTTCCCCGTAGATATTTACAATTTGAGCTAATAAACTAAACTTTGAAAGAAATGCACTAGCACTAAAAGTTGCCAGTTTTTTTTGAATTTACCTCCATTACAAAAATGAATAACAACAAACAATGAATAAAAACGCCAAATTAACAATTTGCATTGTTGATTTTGTCATTTTTGTAGTTAAACTAAATTTAAACAAAATTTGGCAACTTTTTTGACATAATCTGGAAACGCTGGTTGTTACCAAACATAAAATAATAAATTAAATTAGGCAACCAGATTAGCCTAAAGTTATTTTTAGTGTTTAGAATTTTGAAAAAAAAAAGTTCCAGGTGCTTCTTTAATTTTAATTTATTACATTAGTTACATAATATATAGGTATAAAAAAACATTTTTTAAATTCAAAACTTTTTTTAACCTATTTTTTTTAATTCAATGGTTGATTGAAAATTTTAATAATATTAAATATTTTCTGTGAATATCAAATATGAAATATTTAATAATAATTATGTAATAATTTATATTATTTTGGTTGGTTAAATAAATGTACTACACTTTTTTATTTGAATCTAAAATTTCCAGCATTTTTTTTTATGACTAATAGAGATTTTATATTAAAAACAAAACCTTAAATATTTATTCGTATATAATACCACTAGTGGTAAAATTTTACTGATACAATTTTTGATTTTTATACGAATGTTTTTTTCTTGGAAATTTCGCAAGTGGCATTAATTTTTAAGACCACGAGCCGCTAGGCGAGTGGTTTGAAGTTAATGCCACGAGCGAAATTTCCAAGGAAAAATCTTGAGTAAATAAAAATCAAAAATTTTTTCAGGGAAAATTTTATCACGAGTGGTATTCGGCAAGACTATTTCACGAATATTTTTAACTGCTGATTCAATTTCTGTATGATTTTTTGGACCAAAACGCATATTTTTTAACATTTTAATTTTAAAATTAAAAACGTCAACAGTGACAATTATTTTTATCATAGCAACCAATTGGTTGTTATGCAACTCGTATAAACGAGTGTTTTTTTCACCTGAATAGTAGTTTTATCGCTGCAAAACTGAAAAAACCACTCGTTTTCTGAAATCTGATTGGTCCAAAAAGTAATGAGTGGAATAGTCTACATAAAGTAATAAATTTTACCACCACCCCGAAGGCCAAGGCGTTTCTGAAACTACTATGGTAAAAATTCTACTGAGTTGGCAACACTGTTGGCAACGCTGGCAAGTAAAGTTCTTTGCTGACAAGCATGTATGGAGTTCGGTTTTGTTGCTCGTGGTGTTCGGTTCGCTTAATGAGATAGTATGAAACATAGACGAATTTTCGACGCAGGAGAGACAAAATTGAATTCTCGGTATAGAAATATACTTGTATTTTGGGTACAATATCGCAAGCTTTGACCTCTCGAAAGAGATAATAGACTATTAGAAGGAGAAGAAGAAGAATACCAAGTAGTTTGTATTTTAGGCAGCCAGAGTTTGGAGGGTGGGCGTTTAATCTGTGTAGGGGCGTAGAATGTCTGTCAAAATGGAATTTAATACCAAACGACGTGGACATTTTGATAACGCACACTCCGCCACTGGGTCACGGCGATTTGGTTTGTTCTGGAGTGAGAGCCGGCTGCGTCGAGCTGCTCTCGACAGTTCAAAACAGGCTTCAGCCCAAGTATCACGTTTTTGGACATATACACGAAGGTACCTATTTTCATTATTTATATTTCCAATTTTATTTTCATTTTCTCTAAATTAAGGTTATGGAGTTACATCGGATGGAAAGGTGGTATTTATAAACGCGTCGACATGCGATATCAACTATATTCCAAACAATTTGCCGGTTGTTTTCGACGTGCCACTTCCAGAGGGTTTCAAAAAAGATTAAAAATATCCACTATAATATGATAACCACAATCCACACAACAAGGTCTGTTCTATCTAGTTTCACGCATACTAAAAATCCACTGCACAGACTTTAAAGCGGCCATTTTTATGTTTACAATTCTTGTGCTTCGGGTTTGTGCTGTTTATACAGATTAAAAATCGTTTTAATTGTTGTTTCTTACCAAGGTTAAGTTATTTTTTTTTATCTGGAATGCGGCAACGTTGCAAATTTAGGGGTTTAATTGGTAAATACGGAACCAAAATTGGTTAACTAGTAAACTAGTTATAAAAGTATACTTTTATAACAAGTTTAGTTTGTTTTAATCAATGCAGCCAATTTTGGTTATAATGTAATTGTGGATATGTTTAAATTATTGTAGGTTGTCGTTGAGTTTAGTTGTCAACATTCGTAGTTAAAAATGCAATTAATTTGGCTTTGGTGGTGCGTAGATGAGTAAAATCATATCAAAAGTAGTTAAATATAGGTGACTACGGCCCAGGAGAGACAAAGTATTCCTAGCGGATAATAATCTTCGCTTTGAAAAGAGTTTATATAAAAGAAATTAAAATTTTATGTGAACACACGTGAATGTTGTCCAATCATTGGAATCCAATGGTGAATGGGTATTTTGTTAAAGCCACTGGACGTTAATACTTGTAGTCCAGTCCAGTTATTTTATGTCAAAAGCAAAAAATTTGAAGATTTGCCAGTGAAGGTAGGGTTATATAAATATTATTGTAATGGTTGTACAAAATATTATTTTAATACAATTAATATTGTTTATGTCAGGTTAAGAAAAATGGACAATCTTTTAGCAAATTCCCTTAATTTTAGATGTTAATTTTGCGCATTGTGAATGATCGTTTTGTATTAATTATAATTATAATTGAAACCACTAATTTTTTCCACTAATTACGAGGTTCTGATAACTCACAAATTTTCCATACCCACAAATTAACCTTAAAATTGACATTCGACAGTTTTATGACAGTCCTGATAAAATAAGGTTTATTTTTTACAAAAGAGAAGTAAAATGGTTGCGCTTAGCACTTTAAGGCTTTCAAGTGCTTCTGTAAGAAGCACAACGTTTAAAACGATTATTAATCTGTATAAACAGCACAAACCCAAAGCATAAGAATTGTAAACAACATAAAAATGGCCGCCGTTAAAGTCTGTGATTTTTAGTATGCGCAAAACAAGATAGAACTTGTGGATTGTGATAATAACGAATATAAAAACGTCTTTAGAAGAAGTTTTTTATGTTTTTCATGTTGGACCCCCTGTATGTATAATAATACACTTATCTTTATTGTAACGCTCCGTGATATAATTTTATGATACTAAATTTAGTTATCACTTACTTAAGGTATTAGCTATTATTGTTTATTATTTTATTATTGTAAATGTTTTAGCGTTTAATAAACTTTTTTAACAACGTATTTTGCATTATTTAAAACAAATAATAAAAAAGTAATAATAACACAGTTCAACACTATTTTCCTCCAATGAAAATTTTTAACAAATTTTAAAAATAAAGGTTAAAAAAACGTACCCGTGTCTCACCGTTTCACGAAATAAAGTCATTTAATTTTTTATTTTGTTGCAAATAATTTTTTTGATCAAATATTTTATGTTTTTAGATAATTCAAAAATTTTACTTAAAAAAAAAATTTAATTTTTTTAAGTAAAAAAAAATATTTGATCTTTTAGTTTGACGATTATAGATTGCTTTACGGCCATTTCAAGCCCATGGACAGGACACATCAGAAACATGTCTAAATATATTCTTGTTACTTCCTTAAGTTTACTTATTTTTTCTACGAGTATTTATGAGAAGTATTAGCCAAATTTGGCCAAATTTGGCTAATACTTCTCATAAATACTCGTAGAAAAAATAAGTAAACTTAAGGAAGTAACAAGAATATATTTAGACATGTTTCTGATGTGTCCTGTCCATGGGCTTGGAATGGCCGTTTAGAATCTATAGTGGCTTAACAACCTAAAAACACCACTTGATATACAGTGTGTTTCACATTTGTGGTCCATTGGAAGTTTCTGGGGAACGGAAAAAAATATCGATTTGAAATTTAAAAGCGTTCTATTTGAAGTTCCGCTCAAACCGGAAGTGGCATTTTGTTTAAAATATTTTTAAAAAATAGACTTACCTAATTGAATAATAAACGCTTTAAAAATTTCAAATCGATATCTTTTGCCGTTCCTCAGAAACTTTTAATGGACCACGAGCGTAAAACACCCTTATTTCGTAAATGTGCAACACCCTGTATGTAATTAAAATAATTTTAAAATAAATAAATAATTTTAATGGTTGTCCATTTATTCAGTGAATACATTTTTCTTAAAAATATACAGTCTAGATGTTATCGAAGCTGTTATATTATGTATGTGCCGAATACCGTGGATAACATTTTATTGAATCGCACTTAAAAAAATAAATTACATGATCTGAAAAAACGCCGAGACACGAGTATCATTTTTTTAAGTGTATTTTCAAAATCTAGGAATTTTTCATGGGAGGGAAAAAAATGAATATAAAAAATTATAAATGGGTAGCTAAATTTAAAATACGAGAGTTCAAAATGTTGTTTTGGCTATTTTTAGTTCCATTTATATTTAGAATGGGTAGTAGTACATTTTACGTTTCCTACAATAGATGCTGTAATATTGTATCTATGCACCACGTTGAATAAATTAAAATGCCTCAGGTATATAAAATATTAAAAAACGATGTTTTTGGCCGGTAAGAATTTAAACAAGTATTAACAAATAACATTTTATTTATTTAAATTGTTGACCAGATACATGGTGGCAAGCAAAAACATTAAACAAGGCCAGTTAATTCTAAAAGAAAACCCCATTTTAATAGGGCCCCAGCTCAATGGGTCAATGGTATGTTTTAATTGTTGTACGGATTTGAGAAGAATTGGCTATATTTTTTGTGTGAACTGCAAAAAAGCGGTTATTTGTAATCCAAAATGTACAGGTAAGTAATATATGAATATACTGTTAAATTTTTTTTGGACTCGTGATTTTTTATTAAGTTGGTAGCTTATGTCAGTTTGATTTAGTATTTTTAGTATTTAAAAAATGGTACTTCTGCTGAAGACCTTAATTAAATACAAATTGACAGTAATATTTATTTTTGATAATTTAAATTACTTGTTAATTATTATATAATATCGAAATAAAAAGATACCTATGCCAAAAGTAATATCAGATTCTGAAGTTAAAGAACTTTTAAGGGCAAAATTTCATTTCGATAAAGTTATGCCAAATGCCTCAATGGCAAAAAAAGTACATTGCCTTATCGACATTTTTAGATTAAAAAAGTAACGTTTTTGGTTTTACAAATATTAAATAACACATTATTTTCAGCTAAGAAGATCAAAAAAATTTTAAATTTTAAAAAATAAGGGAAATAAAAAAACCAAATAAAAATTATTTGCTGTTAGGTTCAAGCTTTTTGTGAAAAATCTAGTGGTTAATTTTCCTGTTTTTGAAAATAGCATCCATTTGGTTAAAAAAAAAGCAATAATCACGTAACTTTTTCTTCTTTTAATTTGTAAGTTACTGATCATTAATAGTCCTGGACAATATATACATTATAATAATTATTATTATTAACCCACTACAAGTATTAACGTCCAGTGGCTTTAACAAAATACCCATTCACCATTGGAGTCCAATAATTGAACAACATTAATAATAATAATAATAATTCACGTGTGTTCAAATAAAATTTTAATTTCTTTTATATAAATTATTTTCAAAGGGAAAATTATTATCCGCTAGGAATAATTTGTCTCTCCTGGGCCGTAGTCACCTATATTTAACTACTTTTTATATGATTTTACTCATCTACGCACCAGCAAAGCCAAATTAATTGCATTTTTAACTAGGAATTTTGATAACTCAACTTAACTCATCTTGACAACCGTTCAATGTAAGGCTTTGTTATCTATGAATGTAACCTACAATAATTTAAACATAACCACAATTTCATTATAATTACATTTATAACTGGTTTAGTTTGTTTCAATCAATGCAACCAATTTTGGTTCCGTGTTTACCAACCAAACCCCTAAATTTGCAACGTGACCTCAGTTCAGATATTTTTATCTGGACTGCGGCAACGTTGCAAATTTAGGGTTTTGGTTGGTAAATACAGTTGTCAAGTTGGTCGCATTGATGAAAACAAACTATGAGGCCTATTCCCTTTCTTGCTGTTCGTAAACATCGATTTCTTAACATGTATGTTCACCCAACGACAATCCAAACATCACCTATGTTTAATGCTATTCCGTTTCTCATATGTTGAGAGTCTTGACCTTGAATCTTTTTGAACAGCGATAAATGTTTCTAGGACAGAGAGTATCTTTGTTTTATAACCTAAAAGTCGCAAATCGTAAACTAAAATTGTGTTAGATAATTATTTTAAAAATCATTGGTGATATTTATTATATTAAATAAACTTAAAAACAACTGAGGAAAATCCACAAACTCTAAAAATACTTGTGAAAAACGTTTTATGCTGAACTAGCCAAAGCACAGATCTTCTGGCGGGGCCATCCTTATATGGAAAAGGGTAATCATAAAATAATAATAAAATAATTATTTGTTACTTATTTTTACACACTTTTAGCGTTGAGTGAAAAAGGCAAGAAAACTACGCATTTCTCTCATGGACAGTGGCAATGTCGGGGAGCCAGTAAAACAACTTAATGACTTTAAAGATAAATTACTAGCCCTAATAGAGGAAGCACTGTGAAAGATAGTGGTGGATGGTAATACCATCGTTAAAACTCTTCATTGACCAGCCTTTAAGGTCGGGTGGAGGGCCCCTTCTACAACAGAGAGGCATAAAGAGAAAGTCCAACTCAAACTCTGACGAGTAGTAAAGGTGTAGAGGTTTTACAAGGTATTGATAAAACCTAAAAGATTTTAAAATTAAACCAAAAAATTTTACCTCCCATGTGAAGAAAAAGAGTTTTTAGATGCATATTTTTTTGTATTTTATTAGTTATACTTTTCTTTGACTAATATATTGTCTATATTTTTAAGTATTTGATATTTTATATTTGTTGTATTTTTTTAATAAAATATATTTTTCCAAGTTATTTTTTATTCTACTAATATATTAAGTTTTAGAGGTCGTTTTTAGACACTCTGCCACCCTTGTAACATATAAGTCTTGACCTTCCTCCCCCCAAATTCTCTCTTCACACTCAGATTTTTTAATAAATATTTATTATTTATTATAATAAAATTAATATTAATTTTATTAAAAAAATCAGAAAAGCAAAATTTGTATTCTGGTATTATAATTTGGAAATACATTTTAATAATTAAAAAACAAATCATAAACATATATAAATAAAAATATTTTTAAAATTACCAACAAATATATTTTTATTTGTTTGGTGTGAAACCTTTGGTTTTATTTGTTTGGTGTGAAACCTATGATTTGTCCTATTCTCATTTATAAATAATTATTTATCATTTTTAATTATAATTAATTAGGTATTAATTATGAAAAAGTAATTATTCCATAATTACTTACTATTTTTGATAATGATACTGTACTGTATACTGTACCAAACATCGCCGCAATTTATGATTAATTCAAGATAAAAAACCTCAAATATTGGCCAACAGCACCTCTTAGGCAAGCGTTCGTAAACATACGTTTTCAAACATCATGTATGTTCACCAAACATCGAATTTTGGAAACGGAATAGCCATTTTAACACCGATGATGTTTATAAACATGGATGTTTAAGAAATTTTTCGAGCGCATGCGTCTATAGACGAAATAATTGAAAGGGAATAGGCTCATATGTTACGAAACATATGTAGTTCATGAACATGCATGTTTAGCGAAAGGGAATAGGCCTCTAAACCAGTATGTAGTTATAAATCTAATTGTGGTTATGTATAAATTATTGTGGGCAGTTGTTATGTTGAGTTGTCGAAATGAGTAAAATCATATAAAAAAGTAGTTAAATATAGGTTGCTTCACGGCCCAGAAGAGAAAGTATTCCTAGCGGATAATAATCTTCCCTTTGAAAAGAATTTATATAAAAGAAATTAAAATTTTTTGTGAACGTAAATGTTGTCAAATGGTGAATAATGTGAAAATAATGTGTGATGTAATATTTATAAAACCAAATTCGTTACTTTTTTACTCCAAAAATGTACTTTTTCTAAATACCCTTGCGGCCTTGAGTTTACGGTGAATTCACCGTTTGCGTGAATTCACCGTGAATACACCGTTTATGTGCAGTGAATATACCGTCCATTTGTAGACGGTAATTAAACGGTGAACTCACGCTGTTTTTGCGATAAATTCACGGTGATTTCACGGTTAATTCACGGTGATTTCACGGTAAATTTACGGTGAACTCAATACATCTCACGGCTGCTTACGCAAGCGAGCTAACTATAAATAGCGTTGGGTTGCAATATTTAGTTGGAAGTGTGCGTCTGTAATGGCATAGCTGAACATTAATCCTCATCTGCTCAGTAACGAATAATGGCTAGCTATAGTCATGTTAAACCTATAGGATATACCTACCCTTGCGGCCTTTTAGTTCACGGTTTATTCACCGTGAATTCACCGTGAATATACCGCCAAAATACGGTGGATTCACAATTAAAATACTGTGAAAAGTGCGTGAATTCACCGTCTAACTACCGTTTACAAATGTCACAAACAGACGGTTTATTCACGGTGAGTTTACGGTGAATTCACCGTGAATTCACGGTGAATTCACAGTGAATTCACGGTGAATAAACCGTGAACTCAAGGCCGCAAGGGTACTAAAAATACTAAGTCAAACTGGCATAAGCCACCAACCTAACAAAAAAACACGAGTCCAGATAAAAAAAATTAACTGTACCAATAAAATGTGTTAAATTTTGAAATTTGTACAGGAAAGTTTCACAACGAGCTGGAATGTAAAGAACTGAAATACTCGAACCTTTTAAGTGACGATATAGTAAACAACGAACAAATTGTATTTCCAATGCGTTGTTTGCTATTAAAAAAATACAGCGAAGAAAAATGGTCGGAAATAGTGAAACTGGAACACCACTCGAATTTCCGTAGAGACAGCCCTATTTGGAGAAGACACAAAATTGTGGTCGAAGATGTCTTGAAGTCTATAAACTTTTTGAGCGACGACGAGATAGATAATGAAGTTGTTCAAAAGATTTGTGGGGTTTTAGATGTCAATACTTTTGAGGTAATCATTTAGATATAGCTTTAATTATAATTATACTAGATGACCCCGTGAACTTAGTTCCAACTAAAATTCTTTATAGGCGATTATCAATCCCTATGAACCTTTCAACTCCAATCCATTGAACACTGTAAAACGACACGGAATTGTTTTCACAGTCGCTTAAATCTGTCATAGTTACCTTGAGAACTTTACTATTTAAACTAATTTCTCGCTAAAACAATAATTGTTTTAGCGAGAAATTAGTTTAAATTAGTTTAAATAGTAATTATTAAATGAATGAATTTGTGGTTATGTTTTTTCATTTAATCTGAAGCTCAGCTACGAACGCCATCTATTCAAATTAATCCAAAGTTCCTTTCGGTTTTTCGTAATGTATTTTTTATGTAAATCACTCCTGTATTGAGGCGAACAAAACAAAACAAAAATTATTTAACCCTTCATTAGTCGCACTGGTTCTGAAACGCCATTAGTCGCTTCGGTGTCTGAGACCGAGTTAAAAATTACGTTTATTAAATATCTTGTGGGCATTTTTAAGAAAAACACTATGTTATTATTTTTAAAAGTAATGTTTTTAATAAACAAACATAACAAAATATCAATATAAGAACAAAAAATTAGTATAATTCATCAGAAGAAATATTTTGTTCTGACTCGCTATATTCATGCCTTTCCTTAACGAAATCTTCTTCATCGTCATTAATATTACTTTAATTTTCAGAATCTTTCCCTTCCATTAGTTTTTGAAGTCGTTCTTGGTCGGCTATGGAAGAATACATAGTTAAATTTTTAAAACCTTAATACTCGCATCGGTCTCTCGTACCGAAATAAATTCTGGAAGCCGCTAAATCACACCCATGCACCAACCCTTTTAGACTTAAGTTCGAACAGCTAATGTAGGAAGGTACCTAGGAGGGCATAGCGCAAAGTCGATGCGCTAAAGAAGTAAGTTAAAAAATTTAAAGCGTCGATCTCTCACACCGGGTGCGACTAATCAAGGGTTAAATCGGTTGAGCCATTTCCGAGTTTTTGCAGGACTAACGCACGGCGATTAATTTTTATATATATAAATAGATTATATTTTAAGGTGAGACCGCCACAAAACAACGCTTTAAGCGGAATTTCCAATCCAGATGTGGAATGCCTCAGGGGTCTCTACTTGGATGCCGCCATGATGACGCATGACTGCCTCTCTAACACGCATTTATCCGTGGACAATAATTTTACCATGACTGTACACGCTAGTGTGGATATAGCCGAGAATGAAATCGTTTATTTTAATTATGCCAATGTTTTACAGGTAAACATTAGACTGGTTAAACAAAATGTAGCTCAGTAATTTTAGAGAATGTGTATTATCTACATATGTAGCATAACACATCATGATGATTTACACAACTTCTACTTAAACTCATTTACGCTTAATAAAATGCAATGCCTTATTTTTTTCCTTTCACAGCAAACGAAAAAATATAGAAGTGTGCACACATCATGATGACTCCCCGTTTGAATACTAAATCTTAATGTTTTATCAGAACTGTATTGAATCGTGCTTTGTTTTTATATTTTTCGCCTCCACACCTATGTTAAAGTCAAACTCAATGGTGTCTTAAAAGACACATTATTTTGATTTTCTATATTCAACAAAGGTGTAGAAACTCGACCCTGTAGAATGGTGCAGTCATTTATGTCTCTAGAAATTATTGAAAAGGGGGCAGTCCAATGGTGCAGCAATTTCGGATTCTTATTCTCTTCAAAGACAGAAACTCGAGCTTTTCGAATTTTGCTGGCAATGATTTTCGTCCCCGAGAATTATTAAAAACCAGTTTTGACTTCTCTTTACTCTACCAAGTTATAGAAACTGGAGTCTCTCTAATACTGTTCTAGTCAATATTTCTGAGAGTATAAAAAGAGGGTGTAATTAAATATTGCAAAGTTCTTCTGATGGATGCAAGTATTTTGAATATTCTCATTTCTGCAGATGATTTTGTTGAAAACAGTTCCTTTCTTTGGTTCCTTTGTCTGATTTTTATTTACCGTAACAACTCAGGTATGTAAAGCACAGAGGATATTATGGATTATATAAAGTATCTACCTATTTTTGTATTAAAAAAATCAGAAAATATCATGTTGAAACAACGATCGATATGCTATTAAACTTTAATAATTTAGTAATGAGGTCTGTTGGTAGACCCTGCACTATCTCCACTTGTATATGTTAGTACAGCAATATTTAAATCTGGTTGATCAAAAAGTACACACCAGTTCAGGATATTGTAGCATCTACGAACAAATGAATTAATGGCCCATTTGCAATTATTCCTTTAGGAAAAATATTCAACACATCTTAATTAATTAATAAAATAAAAAAAGTCACAATTATGTCGTATATAGTTTTTTTTTCAGCATAAAATAATTTTTTTATTAATACTAGTTCAAAAGTCAAATTACGACCTCTATACTGAAACGCTCGACTGACAAATACAACTCTAACTCTAAACCGTACGTGGCGTGGTTTTAGAAAACTGTGTTCAAACGTGGCGTCATCCAATTGGATTGGTATTAATACACTTCTATATTTTTCCGTTTGCTGTGTTGTTACTAAGCTGCCAAATTAAAAAAGAGTGATTTTTTTAAGCAATCTGGTAAACATGTTGCTATCCATTATATTTTATAGGGAAGCTGTGATAGAAAACAGCACCTCCGTGAAGGCAAATATTTCGAATGCCAATGCAATCGTTGCAAAGATCCAAGCGAGTTGGGCACAGAATTGAGTTCCCTGAAATGTTATAAATGTATAAAGGGGTTCATAAGACCCATTAAACCCCACGAAGTGAAAACCAGGTGGGAGTGTGCTCGATGCAAAACATTTTTTGCCGAGGGACTAATAAGAATTACAGTCAATGAAGGAAAAAGACTTGTACAAGAAATTGGTTTGTTTAAGAAGTAAATTTTTTTTTAAGGTGATAAAAAATGTTTTTCAGATACTTGTAATATAAGTAAAATGGAAGATTTGTTGAAAAAACTGCAAAGAACGTTTCATTCCCAACACTACTTAGTTTTGGATTTAATACAAAATTTGATTGGTTTGTACGCAAGAAATATGCCAAACAAAAAGAACCTACGGAGGAAAGTTGAATTGTGCCATCAATTACTAAGCGTTTTGGAGAAAATCGAACCTGGATTATCGAGACTCAAAGCTATAACATTGTACGAACTACAATCCACCGAAGTGGACCTGGCTCATAAGGAATACAGATCGAAGGAAATTTCCATAGAGCACTTGATATATCGCCTCATCGAAGCTGAAGCTATCCTGAAAACGGCCGCAAAATATTTGCTGTACGAACCACAGCAAAGTCCCGAGGGCCTAATCGCCCAAAATGCCCTTTCCGAGCTTAAATTGCTCAGGCAATCGATTATTAGTATACAAAGGGATTCGATTGGTTTACCTCAACAGGTTAAACCTCAAGTTGGTCTGAAGAGTGAAAATAGAAAAGTTGCCGGAAATGCAATTGAAAATAATAATAAGGAAAATAAAGAAGAAAAAAAATGTGCAAATAATGTTGGTGAAGGGACAAAAAAGAGAAGAAATAGAAGAAAAAATAAATAAAAGCACAATTTAATTCATATTTTTGTTTTATTTATATATTATATTATAATTAATATTTAAAAAATAATTATAATTATTATTTAAAAAATATACAAATATTTTGCTACATAAACATTCCAATTATAGCTTTACAGCATCAGGTAACAGGTAAGTAAATATGTTTTTGCATTTATTACGTTTTATTTAACACTATTATATCACATAAATGCTATTCTATACTACAACATCCTCATTGTTTAAAATCCTTTGTATTTCCACCAAACTCTTTCCTTTTGTCTCGGGCACAACGAACAACGTAAACAAAAATCCGATGAAACAAAAAAGAGCAAAGAGCCCGAATGAACCGGCCAAACCTAACGCTTCAGAAACGTGGGGATAGAACATGGTCACCAAAAAGGCCAAGAACAAGTTAACGCAAGTGGCCATGGATGATGCCAATGATTTGAAATTAACAGGGAATATTTCACCTAAGATTGCAAACGGCAGGCAACTCAGACCTGCATTAAAGCAAATAATATAGATTAAAAGGCTAAGAATGGGTAACCATGAGACAGAGCTCACATCGTATTCGTTGGAGCTTAAAGCAAAATACACGCTCAAACAAGCAATAGACAGGCAAGAGCCTAAACTCGATATTAACAACAATATTTTCCTGCCTAATCTATCGGCCAGTTGGGAAACTAAAAAGGTCACAATCATCTGTATTACACCCAAAAAAATGGCAGCGTATTCAGCAGGAAAGGAACTCTTTGCAGCCTGAAAGATTGTCTCCATGTTTCCCAATACAGCGTTAATTCCTGAGAATTGTTGGAAGAAGAATAAACCGCAGGATATCATTAAGCCTTTTTTCAAAGGTTTAGAGGAAAACATATCCTTTATCGAAGCCTTACTAGCGTTGGATTCTTCTATAACCATCGTCATTTGCTCCAGCTCCTTCTTTACGTCGCAATTTTTACCTCTGAATCTTATTAGAGACTCTCTTGCTTTTACTTTGTCATCGTTTTTCAGGAAATGATACGGCGTTTCAGGCACCAATAAACCAAACGTAATCAAGAACAAAAGCAATGGTATCAAATTCACCAATCCCAGTATCGTCATATTAACAAAAGGCCCCACAGCATACATAAGTATGTTACCAATTGTTACCAACAGTGACATAAAAACTCCCAACAACCCCCTGTTCTTATCCTCGGAAATTTCACCTATAAAAGCAGGAACCACCGACATAACACAGCCCATTCCGAGTCCCCACAAAAATCTCGCCACGAGGAAAACGTACACTTTATCACCAAACATTGTTATTATTTGACAAACTATCATGGGCAGCGAAAAAAGTAGCAAAGTTTTTTTCCGTCCCAATTTCTCCGAAAGGTATCCGGAGATGATGGGGCCGAATGCCGCCCCTAAGCAGTTGAGGGAGGTGATCCAAGCATCTTCGGAGGTCGTTGTTGCTTGTGCCAAAGGGTTGTCTTTGCCGAGCTGTTTAAATTTTGGCAACACTGGTGAAGTCCACGCGAAAGCAGCACCCACATTGATGGATATTAAGTTTGCTAAAGATAAAACAGTGTTAATAAATATCCATTATTTTGTTTTTAATGTTTTTCACTTACTAAAAAACGCTGCAAAATAAACATACAATTCCTCCAACGCCATTTCTGTAAGTAATTGTTGTCTCACACGGTTTAACGAACTACAAAATAAAAAATTAAAAGTTATTTGTAGTAGTAGTGGAACCGAAATATTTTAAATTGAGTTTAATAGATACTAGTTTTTAATTAATTCAAAATAAAAACTCTCGATGAGATCAAGTTTGCAAATTGTTCCTCATTGTTGTTCATATGCCATTGAAATTTGTTGAGATCAGTGGCGTGCTAAAACAAAAAAAAATCAAGAATATTATTTAATAACTTATAAACATGCACCTATACTATTAAAATATGTAATATATTATCAACCATGCACATTTATTACTTTCTTGTTTTTTTAATCAAGTTTAATTTAAATACAATTTTTCCATTAATATTTTATAAATCAAGCTAAATCAGCTTGCCACTGATACTACTATGTAAAAACTTATTATGGGTGGCTAGTTTTTAATTCAATTCTATATATTATTCGTATAAATCAAGTAATACAATTTATTTTAAAAATAATTTCAATATTTCGATTTTAGAAAGGTTTAATAAAACATGTTTCGCATATTCAGAGATTCGCACTTAAATTAGTTTGTAAAAATTTAACTGAGTTTATTTATTTCACGAAAAATATTAGTTTATTTATCAAAAAATAAAGCAAGCTGGACACGTGTTTATAAGAAATGTTCCACATTTTTCATTCATGAAAAACTACTGAGATACTGAGATACAAAAATAAAACATTTTTTCACGAAAACTCTCAAAACTTACATATTGGTAGTACTGGTAAAACACATGAAAAGCTAATAATAATAAAAGAAATTTTGTTTAATAGTGATTCCAAAAATATCTGAAAAACTAAAAGTGTTGGAGGGGGTAAAAGTAATATTATTTTTGGATTCGGTGACCTTCACCATTAAAATTTATAATTATACAAATGTAAAATTGTTAATTTAGATTTTGTTCATAACACAATTATAGTTTTGTATAAAATTGAAAAATATTCAAAAAATACAAGGTTCAGCTAATGGTGTTTGGGTCTGAATTTAATGGAACCTTTCTTTGGGAGAATTGTATTATTTTCTGATGTAGCCACATTTGCAGGAAACCACTGTATAAAGAATCCTTTTTCTTTTTCTGTGAATATTTTTAATTAAATTCAATTAAAACTACATAGAATAGGTAACTTGTAAGTATATTTTTTAAAAGTTCCACAACCTTCAACAATTCGTTTTTATACAATAATTACCTAATTAAATCAATACATTTATTTATCCATGAATAAACATGTGATTTTTATGTCAGCACACAATGGGCTAGAGAGCCGATTTAACGCGCAGAAATTATTTGTTTAAGTAATTTTTAGTTAATGTTTATTTTTTTTGGTCTAATTGACGAAATTTTAATAAAAATTACATTTTACTATTATTAGAAATTATATAAATTAACAGTATCTTTGTTTCATAGCAAAATTAAAATATATTGTTTTAATGAGTAAATTACAAAAATATAACTGAACATTTATAAAAAAATAAAACTTAATGAATATGGTCGATTTTAACAAAAATTATAAATAATAAATAATAATCAGTAACTACTGATAGTTCTCAATAAAGAGGAAATATCAATAAGAATGAAAAAGTAACGTAAAATGTGCTTGGCAACTTAATATTAATCACTTTTAAATTTCGCGCTTCGAAACGCTGGCGGGGAAATTTATTGTTATTTGATAGTTATCGGTAATTAATTCAAAATTATTCATTGTTATCAGTACTTAGCTTTTTAATTTTTCTTATTGATGGTTCCCATCACCAACGTATGACAGTAATTAATACAATTTTTGATGGGTAGGTATTTTTCTTTCTTAGTCAGTTAGTTTTGTGACATCAATCAGTAGGGTCAGGAACTGTAGTGATTAATATTGTGCAAATAAATTATTGTTTTAAAATGAAAATAAGTGGATTACTGTTCTGCGCATCAATTATAGCTAATAAAATGAGGAGGTCCATTCCAAAACTCGGCTTATTCACTTTTTAATAAAAATGAGTTGGTGGTGTCTGTACATTCTAAAACTCACCTTTATCCATTTAAAATTCATTTACAAATTGACTGTTGTTCCAAAACTTGCCTTATATATTGCTTATATCATGCAGAACTCGGCATATATATAACATTGTAACAAAAGCAATACCTTTACGCGCAATCTACCAACACGAAGCAAGTACCTAATTATAATTCTTAAACTTTGACTGGTTACCTGATAAACACTAAACAGTTTTGAAAGTGATTTAAAGTTGTTTAATTTATACACGTATTAAAAAATTCAAAATTTCCCAAATTTTGTCGAAATAAAACACTTAAAAGTAAGTTAAGTACTTACTTTAAGTAATTAGGTACTTATTTTGAGTTTCCGCGCGCTGGAAGCGCTCTCTAGCCCACTGTGCAGCAGTTATAAACAATCATAAATATTATTAGGGTATTTTAAAAACGTAAAATATTAATTAAATTTAACTATTTTTAAACAATCAGTACCAGGTATTTACCGAGTACCTACCTACCTAATTATAAATATCTACAAAACTATTTAAATTTGCATTTAAGAGGTTGTTTTAACCAATTTGGAATAATTCCAAATATCCAACTACTACTACTATGGTAGTAAAGGCCATTCGAGCTTTTTCACTCAAAGTAAAGTCAATGGACTCGCAACTCTATTGAAAAAATATAAGGTTGCAACTTAAGTTTGCATCGTTCCAAATCTCTCTAAAAAAACTTTTTATATGAAGTGTTTTTTCACCATCTAAAACTTCGTTAATTTTGAAAGAGTCGCAACCAGAACCTTTAAATAGATTATACAGGGCTTTCAATTAAAAACTAGCCAACCTTAATAACTTTTGAGTTTAAGTAAATATGATCTCAAGCAAAAACAGGTCGATTTGAACATCGAGTTGCTACACATTTTAGTTAAAATATTTGTATTGATTTCAAATTACCTAAATAAGGAAAAATGATGTATACCTACTTTAGCAGAAAGAACCGAATTAAATCTTATTTACGAATTTGATTCCTGTGCTCGTTGAACCGCACGCGTTTTTTAATGAGAGGCATTCAGGCAAAAATGTAGGCCATCAATACGTCAGTAACCTAGTGAAAAAATTTAGGGAAACTGGTTGAGTGTGCAACAGAAAACACAAAAGTGGCTGCTTTTTTGTTGGACCTGTTCATAAGGTGCTAAAAATAAAATTTATTTAATAAATAAGTATTTCCCTTATAAAATTCACATGTGCCAGTAACTCAGCGAAGATGACTATAGTCATCCCTATAGGGCTGAAGAATCCAGTTTTGTAAGGAAATTAAATTTACTTTTTTCTAAATGGATTTGTAAATAAACAGAATTTTAGATACTGGCACAATAAAAATCCACAAGGTTTTCAAGAGGATCATACTCAGTATCAATCAATGTATAGGTTGGTATTCTTGGCAACAAAATTATTGGACCGCTTTTTATCGAAGAAAACTTGACTGGAAAATTAAATCTTGATCTTCTTGAAAATGTTATAGACCCAGTCATTAGAAAATCAGATGGAGGAACAAGGAAACATGTTACTTGATGAAAGACATTTGTACTTTCAACAAGATGAAGCTCCTTCTCCTGTGTTATTATTTTTATTATGTATTTTATATTAAGAGAGATATATTTTTTGATTTATTTTTACTGATAGTACCTTAATAAATGTTATGTTCAATCGTGTTGTTTTTATTTCATATCGCCTATTTTAGTCACTTTCGGCCTAAATCGGCCTAAAATGTAGGTTTTTATTGCCTATTTATGGGTCCTTATTTCCAATTTTTAACGACCTAAAATCCGGTCTTTGGTTATAATGTTTATTTTTTTGGACCACCCTAATTAGTATACAAAGGTTTACCTTAACAGGTTAAACTTCAAGTTGGTCTGAAGAGTCAAAATAGGAAAGTTGCCGGAAATGCAATTGAAAATAATAATAAGGAAAATAAAGACCCAGTAAGCACAAGATAGACGGGCCGCTTAAGGACCGAATACGTTTGGCCGAATTGGCCGCGTTCGGGCCGCTACACGGTACAAAGCCGGCATGTACACCGGGCATGTCCGCCCGGCCGCCTGGACGTCTTTGAGAGCTCGGCCGCCTGGTCGGCTGCGAGGGCTCGGCCGAGTGTCGGCCACCACCGTGTGGCCGGGTGACGGCCATCACCGTGTGGCCGGGTGACGGCCATAACTGTCTGGCCGAATGCCGGGCATGTACGCCCGGCCGAATGTCGGTTAATAGACGGCCACACGAAGCTGCAATAGATAAAATAATAAAAAAAAATCAAAATTATAAATAAAATGTTTATTCTTAAATAAAATTTCTACAAATAAATATAACAATATTCTAAAACATAAAATAAATATCATAAATAAATAAATCAGTTCAAAAAGTTTAAATTTACTATATAGTATAATTACTGACGGGACAAGCAAACACAAAACAAAATGTTTTATGAAAATTTGTGAAGATGTGCTGTTCCTATAATAATAACTTTATTATGGTTATTATTACTAATTTTTATTGCTGAGGAATGTCATAAAATTATTATTATAGGAACAACACATCTTTAAAAATTTTCATAAAACATTTTGTTTTGTTTTTGCTTGTCCCGTCAGTAATCATGGAATCGCCCTACATCAGTATAAGAACCAGAACATAGAAACAATAGAGTTTATACATAGTATACACGGAGAAAAATATATATTAAAATTTGTTATAAGATTTAGCTGTCACTATATTTAACGTAAAATATAATAAATATTATTATATTTCTCATATCATTTATTATATTTTATGAGAAATATAATAATATTTATTATATTTTACGTTAAATATAGTGACAGCTAAATCTTATAATAAATTTTAATATATATTTTTCTCCGTGTAGTCATATTGAAAAATCGTCATGTTTATTTCTCATTGCCTTTCCTTCTGCCGGTTCGTCCACCTGCTCGATCGGGAGCATTTTTTAACCATATTTTAATGGCCCCATTTATTTCCGAATTTGTGGCACTGGAACAATTTAAATTTCGACGTATTGATCCTATAAATAAAAACTTAAAAAAATGGTTATAAAAGTTTTAATAAACCTTACCATATAAAAGCTTTAAAACATAATCTTGTGAACAATCCTCAATAAGGCATTTCATCTGTTCAGCGATTTTTCGCCGTTTTTGTCTAATACTTAGATTCATGGTAGGTTACTTACTGTTCATCCATGATAAAAACGACACATACAAAACCAAAGTCAACGTACTTTAAAACACTTTAACAACAATGTAGGCACAGAGTGAATGTAGGCGACCTGCCAACCATAAAACAATGTTTAACCATATAACAATGTATAACAATAACTTATGTTCTGTGCGACCTGACAACCATAAACAAAAACACCACAGATTATAAAAGAAAAACACTTTCAACGCAATTATAACAAACACACGCAATGGCGGCAATGCACTTGTCGGACAACAGAACGGACTGAGCATGGTTGATAGCTATTGGCCAACGCGATAACCCAGCAAGAGCGGCTAATTTAAATCTCGCCCAAATCCAATTTACAATATTAAATCGTGATGCTGGACGGCTTCGGCTAGAATATGGTCATTCGCTAACCGGGCTTACATACACGGTCCGTACGCGGATCGGTTGGGGGCAAGCCGAACCGCATATGCAACGGCATTGCCACAGTAAACTGTGGCATTGCCGCTATCTAACCGAACAGGGTTAGACGATGGCCACACGGTAACCGGGCTACCATAATGAGGACCGTAAGCGGGCCGCCTGGGGCAAGCCGAACAGCCGGCCTGCCGCTTGTGCCGAGCGGAGGCCGACAGTTTGCCGAATGCCTTGTGCTTACTGGGGAAGAAAAAAAGTGTGCAAATAATGTTGGTGAAGGGACAAAAAAGGGAAGAAAAAGAGGAAAAAATAAATAAAAGCACAATTTGATTAATATTTTTTGTTGTTGTTTGTTATTATTTAAAAAATATAGAAATATTTTGCTACATAAACATTCCAATTATAGCTTTACAACATCAGGTAACAGCGAAGTTTTTGCATTTATTACGTTTTATTTAATCTATACCTTAACACTATTATACTATTCTATACTACTGTCAACATCCTCATCGTTTAAAATCCTTTGTATTTCCATCAAACTCTTTCCTTTGGTCTCAGGCACAACAAACAACGTAAATAAAAATCCGATCAAACAAAAAAGGGCAAAGAGCCCGAACGAACCGGCCAAACCTAAGGCTTCGGAAACGTGGGGATAGAACATGGTCACCAAAAAGGCCAAGAACATATTAACAGAAGTGGCCATGGATGATGCCAATGATTTGAAATTAACAGGAAATATTTCACCTAGGATTGCAAACGGCAGGCAACTTAGACCTGTATTAAAGCAAATAATGTAAATTAAGAGGCTCAGTGTGGGTAACCATGAGACAGAGCTCACATCGTATTTGTTGGAGCTTAAAGCAAAATACACGCTCAAACCAGCAATAGACAGGCAAGAGCCTAAACTCGATATTAACAACAATATTTTCCTGCCTAGTCTATCGGCCAGTTGGGAAACTAAAAAGGTCATAATCATCTGTATTACACCCAAAAAAGTTGCAGCGTATTTAGCAGGAAACGAACTCTTTGCAGCCTGAAAGATTGTCTCCATGTTTCCCAATACAGCGTTAATTCCTGCGAATTGTTGGAAGAAAAATAAACCGCAGGATATCATTAAGCCTTTTTTCAAAGGTTTAGAGGAAAACATATCCTTTATCGAAGCCTTACTAGCTTTGGATTCTTCTATAACCATCGTCATTTCCTCCAACTCAAGCTTTACGTCGCAATTTTTACCTCTGAATCTTACTAGAGATTTTTTTGCTTTTACTTTAACATCGTTTTTTAGGAAATGATACGGCGTTTCAGGCACCAATAAACCAAACGTACTCAAGAACAAAAGCAATGGTATCAAATTCACCAATCCCAGTATCGTCATATTAACAAAAGGCCCTACAGCATACATAAGTATGATACCAATTTTTATAAACAGTGACATAAAAACTCCCAACAAACCCCTGTTCTTATCCTCGGAAATTTCACCTATAAAAGCAGGAACCACAGACATAACACATCCCATTCCGAGTCCCCACAAAAATCTCGCCACGAGGAAAACGTACACTTTATCACCAAACATTGTTATTATTTGACAAACTATCATAGGCAGCGAAAAAAGTAGCAAAGTTTTTTTCCGTCCCAATTTCTCCGAAAGGTATCCGGAGATGATGGGGCCGAATGCCGCCCCCAAGCAGCTGAGGGAGGTGATCCAAGCATCTTCGGAGGTCGTTGTTGCTTGTCCAAAAGGGTTGTCTTCGCCGAGCTGTTTAAACTTTGGCAACACTGGTGAAGTCCACGCGAAAGCAGCACCCACATTGATGGATATTAAGTTTGCTTAAGAGTTAAAACAGTTTTAATAAATATCCTCTTTTTTTAAAACGTTTTCCACTTACTGTAAAAGGCTGCAAAATAAACATACAATGCCATTTCTTTGAATGATTGTTGTCCCACACGGTTTAACGAACTACAAAATAAAAAATTAAAAGTTCTTTGTATACTATAGTAGTAGTGGAACCGAAATATTTTAAATGGAGTCTAATAGATACTAGTTTTAAATTAATTTAAAATAAAAACTATCGATGAGATCAAGTTTGCAAATTATTCCTCATTGTTGTTTATATGCCATTGAAATTTGTTAAGATCAGTGCTGAAACAAAAAAAATGTATCAAGAATAACTTAAGGTATAATTATACCTAAACATATACCTATAGGTAGATAAACTATATACCTATACTGCCCTACTATGGAGAAAGACAGTAACTACAAAAAAATTCTAAATGCGTTTTCTTGTGCTATGATAAAGCTATGGACATTTTGTATCTTAATTCAACAAAGAAATGCAGTAAACTATCTTATAAGTTAAATAAATCAATTAAATACCTACTGCTTTAAAATGTAGTTTATGCTAATTTCCCACAAATGTCTTATTGTATTTCTAAATAGATTTTTAACAATATTAAACCATGCATGTCCTAAAAGACAAAAAGAAAATTATAAACATTGAAAAAAATTATAATTTAAATAATAACTTAAATAAAATGAAAAATATATTAGATTCATTAGCAGTCATATATGACTGCTAATGAATCTAATATATTGCTGATGCTATAGCATCAGTAACAAAAAATCCAATTCATTATCAAGCATATAGCTCTTATAAAAAAGATTTTTACAAAATTTCCAGAAATCTCAATACGAACAATATATAGTAAACCTTCAAAAATCGGTGTGGAAAATTATAAACAAAGAGTGGAAAAGGAAAAAATAGACAAGTGAAAAGGGTCTTAACACCAGATGAATGACCAAAACAACTTTACAGAACTGCTATTCAAATTAAACATAAATAACGAAAAATCCTGCTACTTTTATGAAAGAACTGTTGATGAAATAATAAAAATAATAAAAAACCTTAAATGCAAAGAAACACCTGCTGTATTTAAAATGTCAACCAAAGTTATAAAAAAGTTTCAGAGGAAATAGCCATTCCAATATGAATTATATTAAATAAATGTTTTGATGAGGGACACTTTCTAGAACCACTAAAATAAGCAAGATTAATACCTATACCAAAAAAAAACAAACATTGACGAAGCAAGTAATTACAGGCCTATTGCCATACTACCAGCTTTTTCAAAAATTTGGGAATATGCAATAAAAACAAGAATTTTGGGTTTTATAGAAAAAAATAACATAATGAGTAAAGGACAACACGGGTTTAGATCCGGCGGTGGTAGTTCACTACCACCGCAATTGCTGCTTTTCTAAAACACTAGATGAAAAAAATTATATGTCTTACCTGCTGGGACCTGTCCAAGGCGTTTGATACTATTAGCCACAATATCTTACTAGAAAAGATCTACTACTATGGAATAAGAGGAATACCCCATAAAATGATGCAATCGTACCTATTAAACAGGACACAAGTAATTGACTGGAAGGGCCGAATGGCAAACAATCCCAGGAGTTTGATTGGGGTCTATATTGGGGCCTTTACTCTTCCTACTATATATTAATGATCTCCCTACTAATATTCCAAATGCTAAACGATACATCTTTTCTAGTAACTGGACCATCACTGGAAATTATTATGAGCAAAAAACTAGATGCACTTCAAGCCGCCAAAAAATGGACTGATTCAAATATGCTGTTCCTTAATGAAAAAAAAACACAAGAACTGTGTTTTAATGAAAGAAGAGATTCCCAAATAAATTTTCTTGGAATCCAGTTGAACGCCAGGTCAGGGCATATTCAAACTCTATGTAAAAAGCTTCCAAGTAAAATATTCTGTATGAAAAGATTAATTTAGATATCAAGCTACTCGTACCTATTATTTTTCCAAAATAAATTCTATTCTTCAGTATAGTATTCTGTTTTGGGGAAATGCTGTGGATATATCCTGAATATATTCTGAAGGATAAAAAGTTTATTTGTATACAAATAAACTTTTTATCCTTCAGAAGCGAGCTGTAAGGGCCATTGCAGAAGTTCCTGACAGAGAGAGTTGTAGACTTTTATTTAAAAAACACTGAATATATACTATAACAAACTTGTACATACTTACCCTAGTCCAATATGTGCATTCAAACAAAACACTCTTTACTTCAATTAATGTGTCCCATGATTTTAACACAAGAGGACAAAATAATCTACAAATTCCAATCACCGAATCAGGGCTTCCCAAGGAGTAAACTACTGGAGCTCTAAAGTCTACAATAAACTACCACAAGAGTTTAAATCTCTGTCTGTGTTCATTGTTTTTATCTATATATACTTATTTTTTACTCATTTAATTGTGTTTATGCTTTACTTTAATGTTTACTATTGACTTTTCATGTAATTTTAATTGCAGCGAATAAACGTTTATTATTATTTATTATTATTATTGTTTAGCAAATAACGGAGCACATTTTGAACATTAAAATTAATTTTTTTATGGAATTCTTTGTTTTATTTATATGACACTTTTTTGGCTTTAACTTGCAAATCCGTAATCGGATTTTAATTGTTTTAAGTTCAATGGACCTCCAGTCTTTCCCAGACAGGCTCTAAGAGGATCTGCTTTTTTATTGTTCTATACAAAATTATTATAAGTCAAAATTTAATTAATTTAAATTTAATTTAATACTAGTATATTATTAGGATGAGGTTTGCGTCTCGAGTCGCCAGACGAGAGACTTAAATCATCCGAGTGAATAATTCGCATAATCTCGAGTGTAATACTAGTACTATACTTATCTACTCCAATAAGTAGATGGTTTTTAAAAATAAAAAAATAAAATCTGACATCAGATTCTGTCAATGGTTAACCTCATTTTTTTACTAATTTTTTATGTTAATATAGTCGCCTTCTCCCAATTAAAATCTCGATTGGATCAAATTACAGTGAATATTGAAATCGGCCAATCTGGTGCCTAAGAACGTGAATAATAAGTTCATTATTCACGTTGTTAGGCAGGGAATTTATAATGTTTATCATTATTCACGGAAAAAAACAATATTATGCAAAATGAGTAGATAAAGTGTTATTCTATGTTCAGGGAGGTCCACGTAAGATTTATACTTATCGCAGAAACTACTGGAGCCACAAAACATGTATAAGGGGACAAATTTTATGATTCAAATAATTTTTTTAAATATTATATTTTCATTTATACATTATTTTCAAAGAACACCCTGTGTAAAACTTAAAAATGAACAACAAAACATAATTATTTTTTATCTTATAGTATCCAGCTGTTTATTAATAACCAATTAGTTATTGGTTAGCTTAAGCTACAAGTAAATTATATATTAAAAAAAATTGTACAGGGTGTTTATATACCGCGTCAAAGTTGTAGATTTTTAAAGTTGTAAATGTTTGTTTTTTTCAATGTAACACTTTTGATATATTGAAATATTCGCATTTTTTGCAAATGGAAGCTTTACGCGAAAAAAAAGTTTGTCTTAATTAAGCAATCTATCTGTCTAATGATTAACCTCACTTTCTACCAATTTTAAATATTATTGACATATTATTGACAAATGTTATATTACAGGTTTTGTACATGAATTTATTTTACAGTGACCTGTAAGTTTACATTTTCTCCATACAAATATGAAGTCTATATATAAGGTGACCAACTTTCTAAAATGAAAAACCAGGACACAACATGTGCTCTTTCAAATAATAAACAAAATTTATTTTATTTATTATTTGAAAAAAAGATGTGCTAATAACGGAAATGATAAATAAATTATCCTGAAGGTACTCCCAAAAATTCAGATTTTTAAATTAATTTTTAACCGACCACTTTTATTTAAAAATTTAAAAAAAAATCCTAAAACAGTGGGAAAAAGTCATAATTTTTTTTCCAAAGTTTTAGATTTTTAAATTAATTTTTAACCTAAAAAAAATAGAACAAACCCTAAAAAAACTTTTTCAAACAAGGTATTTCTTACTTTTTTACTTTTCTAAATATACTTCCAAAGTTTTAGATTTTTAAATTAATTTTTAACCTGAGCCCGACCACTTAAAAATAATTAGAACAAATTCTAAAAATGTGGGAAAAAGTCATAATTTAAAAAAAAATTAAACGAGGTTTTTTATTAATTTTTTACTATACTGAAGGTATATGATTTGTAAATTAATTTTTAGCCTGAGCACCGACCACTTTTTAAAAAAATATAAGAACAAATCCTAAAAAAGTAAAACAGTCATCATTTTATATATTTTTTTCTAAACGAGTTTTTTTCCAACTTTTTTTCTCTTCTAAAGTTTTAGATTTTTAAATTAATTTTCAACCTGAGACCCGACCACTTTAAAAAAAAAATTGCTAATAACGTAAATAATAAAAAAAATAGTATAAACCAGGACCAAATCTGCAAAACCAGGACAAAACCAGTACACAATTAAAACCAGGACAAATTAGCAAAAACCAGAACCTGTGCTGGGTAAACCAGGACGGTTGGTCACATTATCTATATAGGCTTATGAAACATTGTATAAGTTTGAAAAAAAAACATATTTTAATCATATAGGATTTATTTAAAATTCAGGATGCATAAGCAGCAATGCATTAAATGTTTATTTGTCTATTTGCTTTTTTCTCGGCTTTCACCAACAACTCCTCGACCATGGGTCCCAAATCTTTCGGGTTCACTTCATTTTTATTGATGATCAAAACTTCGTTTGGCTTTATTTTCATGATGCCCTTCGCCACAAAGTCCAAAGTAAATGGTTTGTTGTTAATTCTGAGAGTCAACGTCCTGTCCAATTGTTTCAATGCATTACAACCTTGCTGGCGATCGATGCTTAAACCATCCACTACAACCACATTTTCGTCTTTATTGCAGTTAATGAGGGCATTGAACAGTTTTCCCGCATTAACTTGCATTCCGTATAAGTTGAGTAGCACGGGATTTGCGCTTCCATGGTATTTGAGCG